GAAAATAAAGCTTATTTCCATATACAGACTAGATGCAGCTTCTGGTTACTGAACTATTTTAGAAAGCCTAGAATGAATGTATAGGTATCTGCCAAAATATATGCTTAATGAAATAAAAGAATACAAGTATATATTAAAAAAAGCAATTTAAAAAAGTCTTCTCAAGATATCTATAGTTCACTTGGTATAAAAGAACTATCTGACTCCTAGGAAAGTTGACTGAAAACTGAAAAAATACATTAATTATATTTTCTCTGGAATTATCATTTAAAAATTAATATCTACTTCTGTTTTAAAACATGAGTCCAAGATAACGTAATTCATAACAAACCACATAAAAGTATATTCTATATCTCATACATCTTCAACATTTTGATCATAAAATGTGACTAGAAAACACTACAATTAAAGTTATGTTGAAACTAAGGTGGAAAATGTTTAACTGAACCAAATGCACTAAATATCAGCTTTCACTAAACTCCTTCCTGATATCCGACAGAAGAGCATACCATTCTGACCCAAATGTTTTCTAAAACTTCATAGAAAACAGCAAATTTCAGAAATGGGGCAGGCTAGAGAAATTTTAAAAACAGTCACCAAAATCTGAAAATGCACGACCAAATGACAAATACTTCTTATTCATTGAAACAGTGACTTAAGAAACTGGAAAATAGAATCCGAAATTCTACAAAGTAAATATTCAAATAATGTACAGCAAATAATGTAGAGTTCCTTGGTAGCATAGCCAATTATGCAAACCTACTATCCACTAGCCTAAACTGACAATGCAAACAAAGGAGCACTCAATAAAGAAGGACTATTGAATATTCTTTCCACCTAGATGATTCTTTGAAACAAATTCTTCTAGTACCATTGAAGAAATTACATATCCAGTTTTAGGAAGGTAGCTTTTAAATGATAAACCCGTTTCAGTTTTTTCTACCTATAATATGTATATATTATTTTGTACTTGGTATTTGTGCTGTTATTTTTGTTATATTTTTGTTGCTTATGTTTTATTTTTATGTTATGTTTATTGTATTTGTATTTTGCATTTGTGCTTTTATTTTTATGGCACCGCTTTAATATTATCTAATCATGTTAATACAGTAAGTCCTCATTTAACATCATTGATAGGTTCTGCAGCTTGAAGCAAAACAACACATAATGAAACCAATTTTACCCCAGGCTAACTGATAAAAAGATTTAAATTCCTATGGCATCTCATCAACGTTATAAGAAACAATTTTGAATAAAACGATGTATTTGAGGACCAGCTGTATAGACAAATTTGGGGGCTCTATTCAGCCTATCCCGGTTTCCCTGACAACCACCTACCAAAATTAGTGTAGATCCCTGAATGTGTCCAGTCACCCCAACTTCAACCTATCAGCCACTGCCACAGCTATTGTATATAATCAAAGGACACTTGACCCAGAAGAAAACCATCCAGAGCCTGACCAGGATGACTGGATCCTATCTCACAGGAAACTCTAATTCAGGCCATGAAAAGGGTCATTTG